ACACACACACACACACACACCACACACACACATATATATATATATATATATATATATATATAATATTATATATATTATATATATATATTATATATAAGAGAAAGAGGGGGGGGAGAGACAGAGAAAAGAGAGCGAGAGAGGGACAGGCAGAGTGAGAGAGAGAGAGAGACCATTAAGCACTTGAAAATAACCTTTTCCTCTCCCTCTCCCTTCCACCTCTTCATCTCATTTTCCTTTTCTCCTTGTATCTCTTCATCCCCTCCACTACTCCTCCGCTCCCACTCCCCATAAATCTACCCCCTCCCCTCTCGCCTTTTCCCCTCTCTCCCATTCCCCTCCTTATTTCCCTTCCCCCCCCTTCTGCCATCTCCTCATGTGCTCTCCCTCCCTTCCCTCCCTACTCTCCTTCCCTAAATGCTCCCCATGCCATTCTCTCCCCATATGTCCTACGCCCCCCCCCCCTCCCCTCCCTTTTCCATATTTCCTTCGTGATTATCTCCCTTTTCCTTTACTTTCTCTTTATCTCCTCAACTCTCCCGTTTCTTTTGTCCTATCCGCTTATCCCCGTTTTCTAATTTCCTACTATCCACTCTCCTTCTCTTCCGATTCTTGCTAACATCCAGTGTCCCCCCTTTCTCCAACTTCTCCCACTTCCCTCTTCTTCCTCCCTCCCATTCCTCACAATTTCCCCTCTCTCCCTCCTTCTATTCCCCGATTATCTACTTCTCCCTACTCCTGTCCCCTGCATCCCCACTCTCACTTCTCCCCCCCCCCTCCCAAGCCTACCTCTCCCCCCTCCTCCTCCCATTCTACGCAACATCCTCTTACCCTTTCCTCCTGCCCCCCTCCCCTCCCCATTTCTCCTCACCCCCTCCTTCCACTCCCCCACCACCTCCATCCTCCTCCTTCTCCCCCCCCCTCCTCTCTCTCTCCTTACCCCACTCTCCCACAGAATTTTCTCTCCCTCCTCCAATTCCCCACCATCTTCCTTCCCCCTTCCTCCACCCCCTTCCCATCCCCTCTCAACCTCTAATTTTCTCCCCCTTCTTTTTTTCCCCTTCCTCCCCCCTAACCCCCCTCCCCCCCCTCCTCCCATATCCTATGTACATGATCTGAATTAAGAGATGAGAATAGACATCCAAATTATCCTTCAAATGTTCATATCAACCACGCCTCCTCTATCTATCTATCCCTTCCTCCCCTCCCTCCACCTTTCCCCTCCACCCTTAAACAACCCCCTTTCCTATCCCATCCCTTCCCTAAAAAAAAAAAAAAAAAATAAAAAAAAAAAATAAAAAAAAAAAAAAAAAACTTTATTACTATCGTGCAGAGATGGTTTATTGAGTGCCATTAAATCACACCCTGATCTATGGCTGGGTAATTTTCCCTTTGTGGAGTTCCCAGTGTAAGTTTTTTTTTCTTTCTTTCTTTTTTTTTTTTTTTTTTTTTTTTTTGGTACGCTTTTCAGAAAAGTCGATTTCATAATTTGATTTTGTTTTTATATTTCTTTCGTTTGTTGTGTCGATCCGTTGTTTCAAATTACAATTATGATATATATATGTATATATTTTTCATATTTCATTTTCCGTATCCTAATTGATATTTATTCTATAGTATGCAATCACCATTATGATATTTTTTTTTTCTATTATTTAATATATCTTACA